CTAAGCAACGGGTAAAGTGCGGGAATGGGGAAGCTATAAAATACCATGTAAGCTACGCCAAACCAACCCTGGCTTTGTCTGTACTTACTTACGTTACGCTTGAGTAAATGTCTTTGCTGAACACGTGTCACGAGAGTTTCTCTGAGACGAACGGGGTAAACCTTACATGGCGTACATTTTGTATATATTTAAGTTTATAGTCTTCTTGCCTTATTGTTTATTGTCTTCGCTGGAAGGTGAAATGCAGCTGCCGATCTGCTCCTTGAACACCTGCTGTTGCTCTCGTACACTTGTACGCGGATAACATGAAAGACCACCTGCATCGTATAAAGGAAAGGTTTCTTTCATGATTGCCAATTTTATTATAGATTGTGATCATATGGATGATCTGAGGGACAGAGAAGTTGCAAAAAGTAAAATTAAAACCTGGGAAAACAGGAGCTGTGTTCCAAGAAAAAATAAAACATTTCCAGCAACGCCAGCCTGAGAGGCAAAAAATCTTGATCATGCAGTCCTGTTTTTTTATGCAGAAAGGAGAGTTCACTTATTTCTATATGCCTCTTCAGATTAAACTAATATCTAGGTATGGAAAACAATAAGCAGGAATCTGTATATACTTTTTTCTTGTGACCCTGACCAGTTTGCTTGCTCCAGGAACAATGTGGAAATAAATTGCCTTGTCTTGCTTCTGTTTTGTAGGAGGTTATACCTTATATGGCTGAAGAATATGGCTTTGAGTATGAGCTGGTACAGTACAAATGGCCCCGCTGGCTTCATCAGGAGACAGAAAAACAAAGACTCATCTGGGGTTATAAAATTCTCTTCTTGGATGTTCTCTTTCCACTGGCTGTGGACAAAATAATATTTGTTGATGCTGATCAGGTAAAAAGACTGATTAAAATATACGTGTTTACTGACAGTTTTCATTTGCCTTGGTTTCCTTTGTCCGTGCTTTGTTCTAGATACACTGTGCAATAGAGTCAACTTGTTCCTATCTTGTGCCATTTGATTTCATAACTTGGGCAAGTTTGAATGCTCTCTCTTTCTATGCATTCAAACTTACCTGAAGGGAAGTTCAGCCAATTCTGCTCCCTCTTTTTTTTTTTTTACTTCCCAGTCTAACCTATAGCCTTGGGATTTCCCAGTGATCCCTCATACTAAACAGTTCCAGCCCTGTTTAACTTTTTCAAGGTCAACTAGGAACTTCTACCTGCTGTGCCCTTCTTCAGCACTGAAGTTATAAAGTGCAGGGAAACCTTTCCCATGTAATTTTGCTGGAAGTTTAGGTAGAAATGGAGATGCTGATTTTACATCCCAAAGGGATGAAGTATTCCTGGTGGTACAGTGTGTGTGCTCATTTATGGGAGTAGATCCCTAATCCTACTTCCAAAATAGCCTTTATTCACCATCTCCTATCTAGCTCTGCATGTATGTTAGGTGTGTGGATGATGGTAACTAGATTCTCATGTTCTGGTGAGTATGGGTGAAGATTGCTTTGAAATAAGTTTTGTGTTCCAATTGTTCTCAGAGAACAATGCATTTCCAACCATCTATTAATAATTCAAACTCTACTACATTAAAATTCCATAGTGATTTCAGCTACTTATTCCTAGTCTGCATGCATCTTCTAGTAATATCCTCATCTGTTTGCTTTGAGTTCCTGGTCCCAATTTTTTTGCACAGCAATTTTCAAAACACTTTTCCTGTCTGTTTCAAGGTGGGCTAGGAGCCGAATGTCCCTCTTTTCTGTAACCACGAGCTTTTATGTTGAGTATTGGGCTGGCAGTGAGCTCTGTTATTCTGCTTTAGTTTTATATCGTGTGCTTACTTGGCTGC